CTTAAATATGTTGACATGGAAGTTAACAAAGATTACAGTGTAAAAAATGAAACTTTGATATTGTAATCTCATTTACCACCATAAAGGAGGAGAAAGTATGAGCTCACATGCACTAGGGTGTGGATATCTGGATGGACAGATAGTATTGTAGTGCCTGTCATCTCCTGCAGCCATTTCTGTACTTCTTTGCCCAGCACTACCTAACATAAAAGCCAACTGTCCTGTCAATTCTTTATCAGACTGCTTTGCTTGCACTGAGGTGCCTGGGACACTGGGCACAGGCAGAGTTCTCCAAGTTCTTTTGCTCTTCTGCAGTGACTTACATGTCCTTCTACAGAGACACCTGCCTCCAGTGTGGTCTGAGGAGCAGATCTGCTTCCCAATGCCAGACTTTTGTAGAGGATATGCACTCAGGGAACCAGGACCTGCTTGGTTCATCTTGGCAGGTCATGGAACCAAAGTTTCTCTCTTCTGGGTTTATCCCTTTAAACAGCGAGCCCCTTCCAATACATTCTAAAGAGGAATCATACTTGTCCACCTCTGTGGAAGAAAAGCTGTGGCCATGCTCACGCAGGAGGGGATGCTGGACCTGGAGCTAGAGGAGGCATTAGTTTGCAATACACACTCAAGCACTTGTGCTTTGTAAAGGAGTGTGTAAGCACACATCTGATTTTACTTGTTATTAATAAGCAGTTGAAACCACCTCCATTCCCAGTTTAACAGTGACTCCCTGAGTAAATGTCCCAGTACTGCCCAGGGGACCCAGGAGGCAAGATGGAGCATTTGCATTCCATTAAGTGAAATTGGCTGCTTGAAATTTAAGGGCTGGACTGTGTTAATATACTGGTGTCAATGTTTTCTGTTGAAAGACCAAATACAAACAAAAATCAATGGGAAGGAAGGAAGGAAGGAAGGAAGGAAGGAAGGAAGGAAGGAAGGCTCTGAGTGAATTCCCTTTTTGTGATTCAGTCCAGCCAGACTTCATGTGCAAAATTCAGCATCCTTTGCCTCCTTTGTGATACACTGAGCAGCAAGAGTCCATCAGAGAGAATGAACTCTGTCTTAAGAATGGATACCACATGTCACTGTGGCTGATTCTTCATTAAGGGAATTAATTACCTTGTGTGATTGCAACCTGCTGCAATGAGGCAACAGTAGGTTTAAAATGGGACTCAGGAAATAGCTTAAAAGTATATTAAAATGCAGCAAGAAACCAATATTACCTTCTTTCCTTAAAATGGAAACTTAGTCTCCCTTTGCATAGATGAAAGATTTAAATGTGATATCAGGATGCAAAGCTAAAAATTGGTACTGCATTGCCTAGGGTATCTAAATACAACATATGGTAAGTGGGGCTGTAGAGATACAAACCCATTTAAAATGCTTTTTGGCAGCAAGACTCAATTGTCATATTTTGTTAGGTCTGTTTTGTGAAGCAAAGGCAGAGCTTCTGTGCACATGCAGTGCAAGAAAGGATTTCCTACTATGCCCCAGGAAAACTGACAAACCAAACTATTCTCTAATTGAGTTGTGTTCCACTGTACTGAAAAATGTGGTCTTTTTAGCAAACAGCTTTAAAGCTAATTAAAGAGCATCTTTGCTTGTTTTTAAGAATAATGTTATACAATCATGTCTGCATTTTTAGCTGGGTGCTACAATGTTTGTCCACAGAAATAGCAAATTGTGACATAATCTTTTTAAGTGGTCTAGATATTTTGATGATAAAACTGGACACAAGGTGGGCAGGACAGCTGGCAGATCTCATTCAAGCTCTGCTTATCATTACTGAAAGACAGAAGCACATCCAAAATATTTGTTTTACAGAAGAACTTACAGAGCTATGATAAAGCAATTTATATCCAAAATTTATATTAAAAAATTTATATCCACACAAATTTATATCCCCCAAAAATATATTTTGGGGGAAAATGAAGAAACAGACCTTTGTATTTTGTAGTATCATAGTTAAAGACTTGAAGAGTGGTGGCAAATGGAGTTACATCCAGCTGGTGGCTGGTCACCAGTGATGTTCCCCAGGGCTCAGTGTTGGGGCCAGTCCTGTTAACAATCTTTACTGATGATCTGATGAGGGGGTTGATGGTACCCTCAGACAGTTTTCAGATGACAACAAGCCGGCTGGGATCTACTGGAGGGTTGTTAAATTCTTCAGATGGGTCTGGGCAGGCTGGATTGATGGGCTGAGGCCAATTGTATGAGGTTCAGTACGACCAAGTGCTGGGTCCTGCCCCTGGGTCATAAACAACCTCCTACTACTCCTAAACATAAACAACTCCTGCTAGGCTGGGGACAGAGTGTCTGCGAAATGCACTGTGGAAAAAGGACCTGGGGGTGCTGGTCAAGCAGCTCAACACGAACCAGTGTGTATCCAGGTGGCCAAGAAGGCCAATGGCATCCTGGCCTGTGTCAGCAACGGTGTGGCCAGCAGGACCAGGGCAGGGATTGCCCCCTGTACCCAGCACTGGTGAGGACACCTCTCAAATCCTGTGTTCAGTGGAGGGAGTCTGGAAAATGGCAACAGAGCTGGAGAAGGGTCTGGAGCTCCTAATGAGGAGCAGCTGAAGGAGCTGGGCTTGTTTTCTTGAAGAAAAGGACGCTCAGGGAGGACCTCATTGTACTCTACAACTGCCTGAAAGGAGGTTTTAATGGGCTGGGGATCAGTCTCTTCTCCCAGGTAACAAGTAACAGGACAAGAGGAAACAGCCTCATGCTGCAACACAGAGGTTTTGATTGCATATTACGACATTTTTTTTCACTGGAAGGGTGAAAAAAAATTTGGTCAGGCAGTGGAACAGTCTGCCCAGGGAATTGGTGAAATCACCATCCCTGGAATCAAAAGGAATCTGGATGTGGCACCAGGAGATATGATTTAGTGGTGAACAGGGCAATGTCAGGTTAACAATTGGACTTGATGTTCTTAGAGGTCTGTTGAACCTTAATGGTTTATGATTCTACAAACACAAATAATTTGGTGTTCCTCAGAAATTATTTGCATCTTAAACAGTACAAACCATGCTATTTCACAAACAGGACAGTAAACCAGAGGAAAATCAAAAGTGAAAACTGAACAGTGAATTTTTTTTTCTTTTGTCAAGCTTAAGAACTATGAATTAGTGTTAATTTCTTAAACTTGCTGACTATCACAGTAAAATATTTGGAAACCTGACTGGCAAATCTTGGTACCATTAGAAATCCTCCTTGAGCACTTTGAGGGAAAGGCCAAAATACCATAAGATGGGTAAAAGAAAAAGACAAAGAGCAGTTCTCAAAAGACAAGTTGTTGTTCCAAAGAAAATAATTTCTTCTTCATGTCCCTGTCTGACACAGCCTTAGAGAATGCTCAGTGTAATAAACCTGTGCACTGCTTGGTAGGGAATAGAACGTTCCTCATTAGACATTTTAAAGAAGAGATTGGGTAAAGAGAAACACCCTGTTTGGAGGGTCACTGGTTGCATTTTAAGCAGATGCATCCACTAGATGATCTCCTGAAGTTCTTTACAGCTCTGTTGTTCTACAGTTCTCATCCTCTATAAAATTAAATAAGTGCAGAAGTCACTGTGATCGTGAAACTTTTACTGTGTTTTTATTCTCATGAACTATTTTATTATTCTCTGTTGCTGCAGATGCTGTGACTGACCAGGCCACGTTTGCTATGAGGAGATGTTTACCCAGCACATTTAAAATTTATCTGGATGATGAAAGATTAACACTGTTTTGAAGTTAATTTATGGCTTCTGACACACACATCAATATCCTTTCAAAACTTTGGAGAGACTCTACAAAGAGACAATTCCATTATTTACACAACTGAATTAAAAAATCTTAAAATTACATTGCCTCTTTGGGATTTTACTTGTTTACTTAATGGGCCTCTTGACATAAAAGCATTTTTGGCAGACACATTAATAGTCACTGAAGTAAAGGACTGATTTAAAACAGCTGATTTTCTTTCCATCACCTCCTGCTGCAGCAGTGCAGCAGTAGGCAAAATAGCACAGAGCTCACAGCACACATGGTGAAGCACGGTCTATTTTTTCCTCTAGACTTTAAAATCCCAGTGCAAAGCTGAATTTCCGTGGACTTCTGCTGGTGGCGTACTTTCGTATTCTCATCGGTCCTGATTCAGACCCTGGCAACAGGCTGAAGTTGTAAAAACATGGTCAAAGACTTGAGCCTAGGAGATGAAACTAACGTGTAAAGAGTAAAAAAAACCACACACAAAAAAGCTTTTAATGCATTAGGATGCACATTTTAATTATCCTACTTTTTATATTGGTGTCAAAGGTTTTTCAGAACCAACCTGTGAAGCAAAACACTAAACTTTTCATGCTAAAAGTGATTACAGTATCTGTGAGGAATGGGGAAAAACATAAGAAAAGGGACAAAATGTGTTTATTGTGTATGGCTGAACAGTAAATTCTGGGAACAAGGAGGAGAGAAGCTGAAAATAAAGTTCCAACAGCTCAGCCGTGAAAAGCTGTAACATTGAGCCGTCGGGAGCTCTTTTCAGCCATGGTGAGAGAAGGAACCGAGTATTTTAAAGCCAGGCTGATGGATCAGCACACTGGGCAGGATTAGCTGGATGGATTAGCAGTGCGGCCGCCAGGTGTGCATCTCCAGAGGCGCCGCGTGTGATGCAGAGGATCCGCACACGCCGCGGGAGCCGAGCCGAGCCGAGCCACATCTGCTTACAGCCGCTGCTTTAACCACCCATCGCTTCTCTTCGCAGCACTCGCCCGCCATCGGCTCCGACCTCAAGACCCAGCCCGAGGGCTCCGCGGTTCCCCCGCCGCGGCGCCCCGGCCGCGGAGCTGTTCGTGTGGGCAAGCAGCCCCCGAGGGCCGAGGGGCTCCTGCCGGCCCGGCTGGCCCCGCCGCGGGCGTCCCGGGCCGCCGTGCCCGCCGCAGGGGCTGCCGGCCGTGAGGGGGAGCGGTGCCGTGAGGGGGAGCGGCGCTGCTGGGGGAGGCGGTGCCCGCGCCGCGCCCCCGCGCCCCGCCCGCCCCCGGCAGCAGCAGCAGCGGCAGCGGCAGCCTCAGCACCTCCGCCAGCTCCGCCAGCAGCTCCAGCGGCAGCACCATGGACCTCTCCTTCATGGCCGCGCAGGTGGTGCGCGACGGTGGGACGGGACGGGACGGGACGGGACGGGAGCCCGGGCGGGGGCGGCGGGGCGCGCATCCCCTCCTCTGCTCTCCGCTCCGGTCCTCTACTCCAAAGTTGCGTCGGCGCGGGTGTAAACCTGAGCGGCCCCGCGCCTTGGGGAAGGGGCGAGGAGGAGGAAAAAAAAGGGAAAAAATGAGGCGGCTTGGCGCTGCTGAGGAGAAGTTGGCGGCGCAGCTCGGGGCGCAGCACCTGTTAGCGCCCGGAGCGGGCCCTGCGCTGCCAGCGGCCTCGGGCTGCGCCGGGCGAAGAATCATCTCCCCATCCTCCGAGACCGGCTGTAAATGGAAAGCGAAAATGCGATTTTTCGGTTCTTTTTCCCCCTTCCGTGCTGCGATTGTATGTGCAGCTCTAATTTTGGGGTTTTTTTAAGTTGTTGTCTACTCATACAGAATCCAGCTTGGCGTGTATAGAAATACTCCTCTGTTCACGTGAACAGTTTTTTTAATTGCAGCTTAGTTTTGATTCCAGCTCGAGGCATGGCTATGGGTGTTGGTGTTCAGTGTACTAATGCTTAATATACTGAGAAGTATGTTCTGGCTATAAGCCACCCAAAGCCACCCATCATCATGGTGAATCCAGGTGAATTGGATTTTTAACAGACAGAAAGTGCTGTGCGTGAGAAAAAGCCACACTCACCATCCATTACCTTTTCCAGGATATATTCTTCTATTCATGTGGGTACCTAAGTGTAATTGGACTTTTTCAAGGATAATTTGGATCCAAGTTTGTGATTTTGCCAAAAAACATCGCCCACCATTTAGAGATGGAGTAGGGGCCAGGAAAGCCTTTCTGTACTGTTGCTGCCTGAGTGCTGACTTCAGCTGAAGGTGTTTGTTGGAAGCCAAATCTGATCCCTGAGCTGTTTTTCTGTTTCATTAATTCAATGGCTGTTTTGTCTTGTTCTCTTCCTAAAGTCCACTTCTGAGGGGGTGTCAGGCTCTGCCTTTCTGAAGGTAGCAGTTGGCTGTCCAAGCATCTCTTCCCTTTGGATGTATTTCTAAGATTTTTTTTAAGGAAAACCACAGTGGGGAGGAAAGCATAATTTCTACTGATATGAGATCTTCCTGGTAACTGGAGCGTTTAAAAGAAACTTTGCAGGTGTCAGATAATTTTCCTATGGTCCCTCTCAGCACAATCAGTGAGCTCCCTGTGTCCATCTTTTGTTCCCTAAGCACTGAGCCCCCACAGCACAGAAGCAGAGTGTGCCGAAGCTGGGACTAGTACTGCCCATTTTCTTTTTGTACTCTCCCTCATTCTTGTTGTCTCATGTTCTACATAACTTCTTCGCCAATTCTGTGTGTTGGAAGAGTCACAAAGCACTGTTGCTTTGCTTTCTCAACAGTTCCCAGTGCAAATGTGTCTTACACTTAATAAGGTTATTAATGCAACAGTTTACAGTGAAAAGTGCTTTTCTCCCTGATCCTTTGGGGTTAATTTGTTGTTTTCCTTTGTCACAAGAAGTGTCAATTGAAAGTTTTTGTTTCAGTGTGAGGTGAAGGCAAGGCAATACACCTCAGGAAGAAAGGCTGGAATTCCTTGGAGCTGTGTGCCTCAAAGCCCTTGGGATGGTGAGGATGGTGGGAAGCAGTCTGGGCTGTCAGATCTCTCCCAGTGGGGCCACAGGGCTCACTGGGTCTGCACAGCACAGGGCATGTGGGGGATTCCTCCAGGGAGTATTTGTGTAATTAACCTTTGATGAGCTGTAGGAGAGGATTTCCTGGGCTCTTTTTCTACTGAAGGAAGTGAATCCAGGTCTTAGGTTCCTGTGTACAGCGGAGGCTGCACTTACCTCTCTTACTCGCCATCACGGGCCTGTTGCACCTTTCTGAACTGTCAGCCCTTTCCATTCCTGCCACCATAGTGACTCCTTTAATTTAGGCACTGCTTTTCTTCAGCTTTCTTTTTCACTGCTATATCTTTTTGGCTTTTTTGTTTGAATCATTTCTGTAGCATCTCTGGTGGTGTGGTCCAGTGAGATACCTTCAGAAACAAATGAGTGAGAACACAAGAGAATTATTGGCTTGTGCTTCCTGCTCATAATAATTTTTAAATATATTCTGCTATCACTCTCATTATCATCCACCTGCAGCAGGTATTACATTTTACCTGATGTATTTTACCAGACACGTTAATATTTTGTAGAAAAGTAGGGAATACCTAAACTGAGATGCTTAAAGGCATACAAGCAATGATTACCTCTCAAGTTAGTTTATTTTTACAGGATACTGAAGACTATTTATATTCCTGTAAGTTGCTTTTGTGTGTCTTCACACTTTGTACTGCTCACTGTGGACCCAAGCTGGCTTTGCTAGATGTCTTGTGAGACAGCATTACATGCCTTGTGTGTTAGAGCCCCTCTGATGTAAACACAGAAGCAGAGTGTGAGTTTGGTCACCACTTGCAGCCTTGGTGATTCTACAGTGTGCTATGCACAGTTAAAATCTGGCCTCCTCCTAAGTGCAGCTTGAGCAAGCACCTGAACACCTCAGCTGTCTTGTATTTATTAGCTGTGCCATGAAGAACAGCTTTTGACTGTAACTATTAAATCTTGTTAAAATGAGCCCTTTTGCATCAGTGTGTTCATCTCCACTCAGCAGCTGATTGAGCAGGCTTGGGTGTCCTCTGTTCTGCTGGTGCTCTAATTGGCTTTGGTTTAAGGTCCCTTGTGCTAATGAGCAGGACTCATATTAGCAGCTGGTCACTAGGTTTCCATTTTAAATCCCTGTTTGAGTTAAAGTAATGCTGTACATCTCAAGATGCTGTGGCAAAGATGTTCAGCCACTGCTAAGCTGTATGACAGCCTCATTTCTGTGTGTTGTTCAGTGATTTGAGAGTGCTCTTGTAGTCTAGGTAACCTCAGAAATAGCCACTTCTCATAGGTAGAGACTTTTGCTTGCAGCATAAAAGCCTGCTTTGGGGAGGTGCTGAGTGCTGCATCCAGGCTAAGAGCACTCCTTGCTTTTGTCAGGGGTTAGGAGGTTGCTTCCAGATGCCCAGGGGTGAGCTGCTCCCCTCCCTGCTTCTGACAGACTAAAATTAATACTGATTTAACAGCCAGCTGAGGAAAAAATGTTAATGGGAGCAGGGTTGAAATGCCTTCAACCTGAAAAAAATAGAAGCTTTTAGTGGGAAAAAAATGGAGACAGAGAAATAAAAAAAAATGATGTCATGGTCTTCAGTATGATCCAAATTGATATGAGCTGGGCAGCACCTGCAGTCATAATGTTACTGATACGGTTTTCAAGATTTATGTTTGCAATTTAATTTTCCTGAAGTGTTTCCTGTATTGTCTATTTCATATTGAAAATGAAGACTGGATTTCCTTAATTTGCAGTGTTTTTATGGTTGGGTATGTCTCCCTACAGTAAAAATAAAAATTTAATTGTCAGATAAATGGTCTTTTGTTCTTTTACGTTTAGAACAGGGAAAAGGTAACAAGAGCCTTGAGAATACGGCTATTTCTGTGGGTTTTTTTAATGAGTCATATATAGCTGATGATTCTCCATGTTCAAAACCTCTTTGTAAACAGGTTCTGAGGATTTGAAGTACAAGAAGTTGAATTCTTTGTGTATAGTTTAATAATTAAAAGTTGTATTTTTATAATTATTAATTTCAATTGGAGTAATAGGGGTTTGTTTTAAACATGAAAAGTGATACCATGCTTCAGGAGCTAGAGAAACAAATGAGCAAGTTTGATACAGAAAACAAAACCATTATAAAATAAAGATGATTTCATTGCCTTTTGTTCTTTATTCCTCTTCTAGGATTTCAGGTCTGGTCAGTGATCATTCAAGTGACTTGAAGCCTTTCATTGCATTGGCAGTAATCCAGGTCACCTTCCCCACAACAGGGAGGTGGTCATTGTTGCATCTTGAAGACACCATATAGTTCCCTATTACCATGTCAGAATAACAATCCCTGCTTCCACATGAAACATACATTATTAAGAGCTATATAACTTCTGAAAAGCCCTGGAATACACAGGATGAACTGAGTTCATTTAGGGTCAGTAATGTCATGCAAGGTATTTATGAGAAAATACTATAATAGCAGATTCCGCAAACTTTGATTTTAAATATCCTTTCATTTTGACTTGTGGAATCATAACATCATTGTCATTATGTCACTTAAAGATTGGAAAACACTTTTAAGATCTATTTCAGCCATTAATGTAGCACTGCTAAGTCCACCACTAAACCGTGTCCTTAACTGCCACATCTACACATGTATTAACTACCTTCAGGGGTGGTGACTCAACCACTTCCCTGTGTTCCAACATGTGGCAACACTATGCATGAAGAAATGTTTCATTCAATCTAAACCTCTCCTGGCCCAGCCTGAGGCTGTTTTAAATTTGCCATGTCACTTGTTGCTTGGAGGAAGAGACCAACCTTCACCTGGCTATAATCTTCGAGGTGGATGTAGAGACCAGTGAGGTTCCCCTGAGCCTCCTTTTTCTTGAGGCTCACCATCCCCAGCTCTCTCAGCCAGACTTGTGCTCCAGACCCTTCACCAGCTCACATTTTCCAATATACTCACATTTTCCAGCTGACATGGACAGCCCATGTGCGTGCTGCAAGGCCGGTGTGTGCACAGAGGGTGTGCTCAGCATTCTTGGACACCCAGCCACTGGAACAGAGCTGCTGCATTTCCAGAAATCCCAGACATAGGTCCAGTATCCTTTAATTCCTTTCTAATGAGATTTCTGGATGTTAGAGGATGCACAATTAGGATCTGCTGTACTCTGCTGTATCAGCACAGAGGAACCAGAGTGCAGGATAATAATTGCATTAGTTTTCCCACTATTTCTTTATCTATTCTCCCTTTCAGGGGTCAAGAGGGATTCAAAGCCTTTATTAGCTGTGTGCTCTTTCTTACAGCAAGGTAATTTGAAGGTATTAAAAAAGAGAGAGTTTAGATTTGTGGTTTGGGTAGGTTATTCC